AATTAAAAAAACTGAAAAAATAAAATAAAATGGATGGTTAATTTATATCAGGGTTGTATTGGTTGTATAAATAGCATAGATTGTATTTGAAACATTATATATATATATATATATATATATATATATATATATATATATATATATATTTATAAAGAGAGAGAGAGAGGGGGAGGATCAAACGAGAATGATACATATTTAAAAGAACGAAAATGAGCAAATCACATTCAAAATCACATGTGATTTTAATTAATGGTAAAAAAAAATCCCTGTGGCCTGTGGTTGCTTCTTCGGGTCCTCCGGTAAGGTCGTCTGAATCACATGTGATTTTGTATATATATATATATATATATAGAGAGAGAGAGAGAGAGAGAGGAGGATCAAACAAGAATGATACATATTTAAAAGACACGAAAATGAGCAAATCACATTCAAAATCACATGTGATTTTAATTAATGGTCAAAAAAAAATCCGTGTGGCCTGTGGTTGCTTCTTCGGGTCCTCCAGTAAGGTCGTCTGAATCACATGTGATTTTGTATGTGATGTTAGTATAAAATTACATGTGATTTGTCCGTTTTCTTGTTCTTTTAAATATGTATCATTCTCGTTTGATCCTCCCTATGTATGTATATATATATATGCATATTTGTGTGTGTAGGGTCAGGTTCGGGAGAAAACCTCAAAAAAATGAAAAATTGATGAACACATTAATAACCGTCAAAAAAATGGAAGCGAGTGACTTTTGCCGCGATCAAGTCGCGGGAAAAGTCACGGTGAATTATGTATGATTTTGTACATTAATGATTATTTTCTTGTTTTCTTATATTAGACGGGTATTTGCATAATGCAGCGAGATACATTTCAATTTTAATGTTTCATTTTTTATCTCAGTTGATGTTATAATACAGTTTTATGTGGTTTTGAAAAAACAATAATATTTTTATTTTTGAATAAAGTATAAATATGAAGATATATCATAAAAATTGAAAAAAAAAATATTAATATTAGTACCAAACTAACTATTTAAAATCTTTTTTTTTTTGTGTATTTCTTTAACTCGTTTTTTTATTTTTAGTTTAGTAAAATAATTTTTTATAAAGATAATAATTAAGTAGTTTGTTAGAACTCAATTATTATTCTAATTATATTTTAGATTTTCTATATTTTAAAATGAGATGTTTATTCTCTATTTGATTATGTTTATTCGCGGTTACTTACACGAATTTAAACATGAAGTTTTAATAAGTTGTACTTATACACAATTTACTTGTAATATTGAATTTAATATGCAATACTTCATGCATAAAAAATGGTTTTTAAGAGTTTTTGTCAAATGTTTTATAATATAGTATAGATAGTTGGCGTTATCGTAGAACAATTGTGGGTCTCTAATCTTTTTAACTAATTATTTAAAATATAATAAGTAAAAATATATCGATAAGGATAGTAATTTAATTAGGTATTTTTAATAATTTTTTACATTATTTTAGTCAATTGTAATTATCCTATGTTTTTAGTTTGGAACTGATCACGTTGAACTCATGTTCCCATTTTCGTCATTTTCTTTATCTGGAGTATTGTGATACTCTCAGTTTCAAATTCCTTTTTCGACCGAGAATGGAAGATTCAAGTGGTGTTCGTACAGATTCAAGTGATAATCGACTTTGGAGTTGTGATAATTGACATGTTCGATTTCTGCCTCAACTGTGATAAATCTGTGATAGACATCGATTACACACATTGTGATAATCATGTGATTGCTAAAGCAAGCAATCTGGCAAGTACGTACATTATACATTAATCGATTATACCCAAACTATACTGTGATAATCATGTAATAAGAAAGCAATCCTACAATTATATACATTGAACATTGTGAACTAACCCTTACCTACACTCTGATAAGCAAGCAATCTAGCAATTATATACATTATATATTAATCGATAACTATACTGTGATAATCGATTTGGAGTTGTGAGTTTGATTTCTCGACCATGCCTCCACTGTGAAAAGTTTGTGATAGACATCGGCCAATTGATTACATACATCTTCTTCCTTGATGCCTTTGAAATTGACTATACGGTCTTCTTTCTCGACACCTTTGAATAGGGACGTACGCTCCCCCAGATGATAGGAATATCCTAGATCGTGTTATTTGAATTTTAGAATATCAATTTCCAATTTTGCCCTTCCACGTCTTCAGAATTTTGAAATTGTTTTAATATTTATTTAAATTTGAAAAATATTTTACTTCTCTTAAAATGTGATTTAAAACATAATTCTTGACTTAAAGGTTGTTCTCGTATTTTTGTAAATTACAAGGGTTCTCGTTTGAACTATTGCCTCTCTATATATAAAAAAGTGGTCAAAAAGTTGTAAATATAATTTAAAAATGAAAAATAATTGAAGTTGATCCTACATAAAATAGGTTTAGAAAAGGCCAAAAGGGATACAAATAATTGTTGGGAAGTCTTTGTTTTTGCAGATGAAGGTCAACGTTAGCATTCACATGGACAACGACACCATCACTTTTTTTTAAACGTTACTTCGTCAATTCTCACTTTTTAAGGTTCTCTTTTTCCTTCCTTTTAAGTCTACAATAAATATTATTTTATGTACAAAAAATTTACTGAAAATATGAAATAAATAAAAAATATATTTTTATTTTATGCAAATACCCGAACAAGTTTAAGATCTATAACACGTAAAAGAAACATGAGTCATGGTTCGAGTCAAATGCCTTGTATAATTGATCCCAGACGTCTGAACTTTATCCGAGTTGTTTTATGCTATATCGTTGGTCACCCATTGTTTGGGTCTCTTTTTACTTTATTTGGAGCTCTCACAGTAAACTACTTTGTGTGACGATGATGTTTTGTTTCGATGTTTGGCTCATCGAGCTAAAGCTTTCTCTGAGTCTTGAACTCTGTGGTGCTATACCCTAACTGTCTGTTCTTGTTTGTGGGTTATGGTTGGTTGTTTGTTTTTTTCGTCTTGTTGGATGTCTTGTGTAGGTTTTTGTTGGGTTTCGGTTGTGGCCTCCCTCCTTTCTATGCCATGTAGATTGTGAGTTGGTTTTTGTTCGGTCGGTGTGTGCTCTCAGACTTGTTCATTCTTGGTTGGTTTTTATATATTGTTGTCTTTTAGAAAAAGATATGAAATGAGATAAAAATTCGAGCACTATAAAATTAAGTTATTTCTTGCCTCTAGTCTTGTAGCTCCACTGGCAATCGGGTGGAGTGACTTTGTTCAAATACGAAACAAGTCATGGGTTCATCCCAGGGCCCTCACTAGACTTAGCTGCTGAGTGAGCCAAAAAATGTTCCCTCACATTGGTATTCTTGGAAGCGAGTTCCGTATGGTACCAATTCAGGGTGTCGGTAATCAACTTTTTACTCAATATCTTTTAAGTTTATAAAACCATAAATAACTTATAAGCTACTTTTTGTGGCTTATTTATTAATGTTTTTCAATAACAGACTTTATATTTTATATCGAGTGATTATGATATAGTTGTTTTTTTAATAAACATGAGTAGGTAGTAAAAGACAATTATATCCTTGGGAAGAAGGTGATGGGAAATTGATGAGGCCCACTAGCGAGGGCTTTTGTATTAATTTTATTGCCATTGGTATTAACTAAAAAGAAAGACCTGAAGAGATTGAAGGGTAATATTTATGATGGAGGAGTTGGGTGGTATGAATCATTCAGTAGATGGCATCAAGATTTTGGGTATCAAAAGCTGCTTCATATCTCAAGAACTTTACTTTCAGTAGAGGTTTTGCTTCAGTTGGTAAGTAATCATTAATCCACCTTCAATTCAGCACCTTTTGCTAATGCTTTCATTTTTGCTTCATCTGTAGTTTCGTTACTCTGATCTTATATGGATTAATTTTGACTATATAAATTATTTATATAGTATGCTTGCTATATCGCATTGAATTAAAAACTCTCTCAAACAAAAATCATATCAATATATACAGACAGATAAATCCATGTAATTAGTCTTATATATACAGATTTAATGGAAAACGAACCAAACAATGTCCACATACATATTCACATGTGGTTTTTGGTAATATGTTCAGGTGGTAAAGATTTGAAGTATGCTGACTCACATGAATGGGTCAAATTGAAAGGCAACTCTGCGATCATCGGTATCACAGACCATGGTCAAGACCATTTAGGAGACGTGGTTTCCGTTGAATTACCGGAGGTTGGAGACACTATAACTCAAGGAAGCAGTTTTGGTGCAGTTAAGAGTGTGATGGCTACTAGTGTTATTAACTCTCCTGTTTCTGGGAAGGTTATTGGAGTCAACAAAGACCTCACTACTTCACCTGGCTTGGTAACTACTACTCATTTTCGATACATGACTCTATGTTCCTTTTTTTTTCTTGCTGATTTGTTAGTTGGGTCTTTATGAAAACAACGTCTCTACCTATGGGGGTAGGGCAAGGTGGCTCTAACTTTGCAAGGTACAAGTATCTTGTCAGGTTATCTATTGTAGAGTCGGGTTCAAACAAGAAAATGGACAAATTAAGAGAATACGAGAATGGTCAAATCATATGTGATTTTACACTAGACTCAAACAGTGACCAAATACGAGAATGACCAAATCATATGTAAACTTACGTGTAAAATCACATGTGACTATGCACGACCTTGCATGCTCCCATGAGTTGACCGTGTTCCCTAATCATTGATTCAATCAAAATCACATATGATTTGGTCGTTCTCGTGTTGTCCTATTCTGACCATGTTCCCGTTTGATCATCCCTCATCTATGGTAATGTTAATTTGAAGTTGAAAGTTAGCGAGACACAGATTTTGGAGGTTTTTATGCTCCAACAAATTTTCCAAAATAGAGAGGATATAAAATCTTCAAATTTGAAAATTCTCCAAATTTCATTTGAAAGTTTGTTAGGATATTAAATCTATTGAATATTTTAATAATATAATTAATGTTGGAGTTAAATGTAGTTTTTTTCCGAGAAATTAGAAAGAATACGTTCTCGATGGTCTCTCTTCCCACCTTCGTTGCTTCTGATTATTCTTATTCACCTGTTAGGGTTGTGTAGCAACACTATTGAAGAGGTGGTTATCATAAACTTTTTAGGGTTTTGATTAAAGATTGCGACGTTTTTAGGTTAATGGAAGCCCATATGAGAAAGGGTGGATAATAGAAGTGGAGATAAGCGACACGAATGAGGTCAACTCCCTGATGAACTCCGAAAGATATTCAAAGTTTTGTGAAGAAGAAAAAAGAAATTTTTTTCGTGGCGGGGGTTGTGGTGGCGCTGGATGTGGTAGTGCCGGAGCTTGCGGCGGAGGTTGCGGTGGGGGTTGCGGCGGTTGACAACCTATCCTCCATGCACTCTCTTGCTTACACTTTTTTTTCCTAATCGTTTGTCCTTTGATGTTAAACATGGCGATTTCCACGATTTGATGTTCAATGTATTATGATACGTACATGTTCTCTCAATTTCATTTCCTTTCAAGTAAACTTTCTGTTGATTCTTCCAACTAAATAAATCAAAATCTCTCATAACTTTATTGATCCAATCAGACAAAAAAGCATAATATAGTGTTGTATGCTATAAGAACCTGTACATATTGCACTTAAGATTTGTATTTCGAACGTAACCCTAATGGGTAAAATAGATGATTTAGCTTTGAGGAAGAGAAATCCGGGATTTGAAATTTGAATAAATTAAAACGAAATTTAATAACATCAGATGTTTTACTGGCAAAATTAAAATGAAATTTAATTTTGACCAAATGCAAACATATATTTCTTTTGTGGTTTTGGGATTGGAGATATAACACAACTTACTTTGTAACAGTAACTCCAATCGCCTTTCAAAATCGACAAAATAGGCAATTTTTTGTTTCAACCGTCTCACGAGATATTTAGGTATATAACCTTAAGTGAGATTTTAAATAAATTAATGACCTTCTCATGAGTATAAAACCATTTCATGAAAACATTTTGTAACGCCCAAGGTTCCTCTCACTAACACTGTTAAAATACTTTTGTTAATCCAGCTAACTCGTTGGCATTTTTAGTCTTTTTACAATTTTTTTTATCTTTTCCTATTTAAGATACAAAAAGGATTTTATATATATACATACAAAACCTTCGAGACATCCCTTCCCCTTCACCGGCCTCCACCTTTGAAATCCCATAAATGTGAAAATATATAGACACATATATAGCATCACAACATCAAGTGGAACAAACAAGCAAATAGGTCGGATGGAAATACACACACACACACATTGTCAAGTGGAGTTGAGTGTATGTGGTAAGAAGCTGAGAAACAACCAATGGTCCGAACGAATGAAGTGATCAGAGACTCAAAATAGTGTAGTGTTATGTGGTTCTTTCAGGTTTTGTCCAGTGGTACCGACATATGTTTGGATTAATCAGAAGTTTTGTGCAATGGTATATGCATATTCATATATTTTTAACCAAAAAATGTTAATGGGTTGATGTTCACACCTAGGCGCTATTGCACATAATCCTTCTCCTAATTTTGTTTGGTTGATTTAAATAACATATACAATTCCAACGGTAGCGGGTTTCACTGGAGAAAGGAAGGGGCCCACAGTGGGGGGGGGGGAGAAGAAGGTGGTAGGTGTTGAAGACGAGGAAGACAAAGAGTCAGTTAGAGGTGAAGGGAGAGAAGGGGTTGGGTTCGGTTCGGTTAGGAGTCGAGGAGCGAATGGGGGGGTCAAGTGGGACATATAACATTGGATGAGGGAAGTAAGGTTAAGTCACTAATGAAGGATAGTGGGTTGGCAATAAACGATCCCAAGCTACACATATCTTCTGTATGTATGTATGCATGCATGCATGCATGTTGCATGCATGTGTATAAGGGTGTATATATAACGTTAAGTAAATAACAAATATCGTCCCTGTAATTATATGAAAGTTATGGAATAGGTCACTCACATTTTTATAGATTGGTTACATGTGGTTTCATTATCATTACGGGTTAGGTTCCTGACAATAATGCACGTTAAAATCACTTTGTTAAGTCATGGGTAGTTTTGTCTTTTGCACTCATTTCTTTAAGGAAACATTTTAACAACATTACATAATATATACATATATTTAATATGTAGATGAGGTTTCATTTACAAACAAAAATCATTAGTACAAACTGTACAAATCGATCTCGGCCATTCAATTCTTATATCTAAGTTAGATATTAAAGAAGGCAAATCCTTGGAAAGAAATTTAACTAAATGTAACACCCCATATCCTACTTTGGGTGCCGTTACCTTTTTATTTACTACTATGTCTTGAATATAAACTTGAAATTTAACTTTATTTATAACTTACCTTGTAACTACATCATAATTTAAATACTAGCGGAAACATAACTCAATAGCTTATAATACAACAAAAATTTTCTATTGATTAGAATAATACTACTTCATGCAAATCCTCTTTACTCCATCCTTGATATACAACGTGAGATACATAAGCTAAAAGCTTAGTGAGTAGATATGGTTTCACGAATAAACAATTTTCATGATACTTGACACTTTGTGAATAATAATTCACTAAAATTCTTTATCGTGCATAAAAATACTATGTTGAGATCTCATTTGCGACACGTAAGTATGTCATACTTGCCTTGAGGTTTGCCAATCTCGGGGTCCATAAAGGTTGTCTCATAAAGTCCGTTTGCAAGACGTCCCTTCTTGTAATACCTCGTACGTTGGATATTTATGGTCATACATAACATGCAAAAACTTTCATGCCTTGCGTGTAAAACACATACTGATATCATAACATGCCATCATGCATATCTTGAATATATAAATGAATCATCATTTCATGTAAAGCAAATATACCAAAACATCTCATAATGCATAAAATACTCTTATATAGCATGTATGTATCTCATAAATCTTATAGCGTCTTAATTGTGCGTAGCTTTTCCTTTGATTTCTTACTTCAAGCTTGATAATGTATTTGAGAGAGATTTATTATTTTTGGTATCGAACTAATGGTAACATTTCAACCATTATTTATAGGTGAATTCATTGCATTAACTACTTGTTCTTCTTGCTCTCAAAATTGTACTATTACGAGAGTTTAACATCTCATATTTAGGATACGTGAATTTTGACACATCATGCTTCTAGCACATTGTCATGCTTATTAGACTTGTTTTGTCATCAAATAGCTTGTCAACACATATTTGTAGTCCTTACAACTCATCACTAGCTTGTTTTATCGGTTACTAGACTTGCTTAGTCATCAAATAGCTTGCCAACAAATATTTCTCATGCTTTATCTTGTAAGCCACTTGTTGTAAGCTACTTATCTTAAAAATATGATGATTTTATGGATGCTACAGCTGCTAAACCTTTTTAGTGCATTTCATTTGCTCGTAATCTTTGTATTTAAGGTTAAACATTGAAATCTAAAGGGCTGTTTGGCAATTGCTGAATGATTTGGTGCACAATGATTAAGTGGTCAGAATAATTAAGAGGCTCTCATGATATAGTGCAAAATGAAATATAATTGTTTGGTAATTGTGTACAATGAAATTAGGGCTCAAAATGGTTAAGAGATATCCATGATACAAAATCATTCAGAGGGTTTTAGAATCATTAAGATGCAGACTTTTATTTTGCCAAACAAGATTCACCTCTTAACGATTCAAAAGTTGCCTCTTAACGGAACTATTAAGAGGTAAACAAACAACCCCTAACAAATATATAAATTAGGTGGTATACTAAATCACAAGGATTATCACAAAATTGGTGGTCTAAAGGGTATAGTTGTTGATATAACCTAGACATTTAATTAATTAGTAATTCACACACATCAAATCCGCCATTGACGAAAATAAGATTATTTAAAATTTAAAAGATTTGGTGATTACGATGAAATATTGGCAGATAAAATATGTGTATGTTTCACGCATGCAATTTTTATTCGTAAATATGTATGCTTCATGAGTGAAAATTGTGTTTATGTTTCACTTAGGAAATTTTAGATTCGTATATATGTATGTTTCATGAGTGAAATTGTGCGTATGTTTCACACATGAAATTTTAGATTCGAAAATATGTATGTTTCTTAAATGAAACCGTGTGTATGTTTCACCCATGGAACTTTAGATTTGTATATCGAAAATCATGAGTGAAACCGGGAGTATTAGAAAATCATGGTTTTATCAGTGAAAAAGTGATTCGTAAGTGTGGTTGTTTCATGAATGATATCATAAATTTGTGTTGATCCAAACTCTCTCAATGATTTGATGGTGATCCTTTATACTTAGCGAAAAATACTTTGTTTTATTTTATTCAGTTTCAGCGATAATCACTAATTCTGTTTAGTGATCGTTGAACATGTATTGTAAACTTTTCTAATGAACAAGTATTCTTTAAGACGACAAAACTCACACCAAATGAACCTTCAACAATGTCGAAGATATAGCTGAAGATAGAGACAACCAGTTCGTGATCTGAAGCGATTTCAATGATAACAAACGTGTCTTTCAATGATAACAAACGTGTCTACAATCAAGTGTGAGATCTATTCAAGATTCAACGAACACTGAAGAAACTCTAGAGTTATGGCAGTGCCAACGATCAAATGAATCTTGCTCTACAAGATTAGTTTTCGTCTTATTCTACTGCAAACAAATGACAACCTCATAGCTCACATAGTAAAGAATATGTACGAAGTCACTTAATTGTCTTCAAGCGTGCTTACCTACTTTGTGAAAGACTACTATTCACATATCCCCAAAAGTCTGTAGATCTTAAGACAAATGACAAGCTCTCATCTAAAAGTTTGTCACGTGCTTTGTACCCTCTGACTTGCATTAAATGCAATAAGTATAAATAGCTAAGGAGACTCTCTTCTCCAAATGGCGAACAACACATACATGCAAAACTAAGCTTACTCTTAAGCAAAGTTATAACATCTTCTCAAGCAAGCACTTTCTCTCTTGCTTTTATGTATCTTATGTGCTTTCTAAATTGTTTAGATAAGTTATGTATCTTATCTTATTTCGTAAACAATCTGTAAATTCTGTATTGATCTGCTCATATCAATAAATGATTTTAAAAAATGAAAACTGTGTATTTGTATTTATCCTTCATTCTACAAACTGTTACATATAAACTCTTGTAGATCCGTATAAGACAAATAATTTGTGAAATGGTTACTAAACAAAATAATACAAAAATTGACTAGATATGTCTTCTAACAATTTGTGAAACGGTTACTAAATAAAAATAATACAAAAATTAACTAGAGATATCTTCTAAAAATTTGTGAAACGGTTACTAGAAAATTCCCATAAAATAGAAAATTATACCCGGTAATTAATGACAATAATTAAATGTAGGGTAAATTACATTTTGCGTCCCTGTGGTTTGTTAAAAACTGTAATTTTTGTCCTCGTCGTTTAGAAATAACGGTTTTCGTCTCTATAGTTTGTAATTCAATGTTATTTTCGTCTTTATAATTTGCAATTTATTGTTGTTGTGGGCCCTATGGTTTGCAATTCTTTACTGGTCTCTTGTACTTAAATATAGTAATTAGTAGGGCTGTAAACGAACCGAACGTTCAGCGAACCGTTCGTGAACCGTTCGGCGGAAAGTTCGTTTATTTAATAAATGAACGAACATAAACAATTTTTTTTGTTCGTTTAGTTAAACGAACGAACATGAACAAGAGCCTCGTTCGTTCATTTATGTTCGTGCACATTTGATCAACCGTTCGTTTACGTTCGTTTATGTTCGTTTATATATTAAATTTAATATATAATCTTTTATTTATTTACTTTGAATTCAAATAATAATTATTTATGTTCGTTTAACCCGTTCGTTTACGCTCGTTTAACATGTTAATGAACGAACACGAACACACCTTATTTCTAAACGAACCAACACGAACACAAAGATTTCCGTTCGTGTTCGTTCGTTTGTTCGGTTAAGTTAAACGAATGAACATGAACAAGCCTCCGTTCGTGTTCGTTCGGTTTATTTACAGCCCTAGTAATTAATCTAGGGACGAAAATAACAATAAATTGCAAACTATTGGAAAAAAAATTGCAATTTCTAAACCACAGAAAGGAAAATCAAAATTATTAATAAATCACATGGACGAAAATCATAATTTACTCTTAAATGTATTATCCAATTACATATTAAAAGACTAGATTACCCTTGCCAAAATTCAAAACCGAAAAAATAAAAAGAAAAAAGATCAATGGCTAGGATTAGTTTGTACACTTTGTATTAATGGCTTAGCTTAATATGTAAATCTCATGTGTAATACAGACAAATCATAAATAAGCCAATCATAGAGACTGATTCAAGATGGTCAATCTTCAAAAAAAGTCAAAGCTCGAGAAAAGAATTTTGGAACAATTTTTCTGCTTAATTTCATAATAAAACGAAAATATAATACTTATAGTAATAAAACAACCTCTAAAACTAACCCATTGTCCCATTGTAGCATCTATCCATGACCTCCATAAAAGAAGGGACATGGCTTTTACTAAGCAAATATTAATTAAAGGGGTGTTTGGGATTGTTTATAAAAACAACTTATTAACTTATTTCGGTGTGTCATCGTAATAAGCATTTTTGAATATTTGAATAAACAATTTATACCGATGTCAAACCGGTAATAAAAAGTTTTTGAAGAAGTTAAACCCTTCTAACTTATAATAAGTTGATAAATGATTTTGTAAAAAAACATAATTTGTTCCAAATAAGCAATCTCAAACACCTTAATTTCATGAATTGATCCGATGGAAAATGTTACTGTTTATCACCTACCCAAAGGGGTGTTTGAGATTACTTATAAAAACAACTTATTAATTATTTCGGTGTGGTACCGGTAATAAATACTTTTGAGTATTTGGATAAATAATTTATATCGGTGCCAAACCGATAATAAATAATTTTTAAAAAAATTAAACCCTTTTAAATTATAATAAGTTAACAAATGTTTTTGAAAAAAAAAAAAAATTCCACGAGCCCCAAAGATATGACGTACATGTTATAGCGACTTCGGAGACGCCCCCAACTAATTTGGTGTATTTGATGTTCTCTTTTTTTTTGTGTTGCTGGAGTTGCTCTAAACCCTTGATAAACCTCCCCATCCCATCAACGAATCTGCGACCCAATTTCATTCCGATACAACCTTCGCTTTCCTTGGTGACCAAATTTCAGCAAATAATCCACAAATGTGGTCATCTCTTTTATCTTCCTCTCCGATATTCACTCATCCTGTATCTTGTTCACTCCATGTATGTTATTTCTTCTTTAATTCTTACTCTTGCCGTCTTCTTTAATCGACTCAAGGATATTGATAACTTTACTTTTAGGTTTCTTTTTAATTGTAGAATCAGGAGGGGCGAAGGGTTTTAGGTTTGCTGAGGTTTTGACTTGTGTGTTTTTGTTATTTTGAAGGAAGTGTGTGGAAAACAAAGATTTTGTGGGGTATTCTGGAGAAGGAAACGGAATTTGATGAAGAAAATGGTGGTGGTTAAAGCAGGAGCAAAAAGGGTTTGTTTTGATAAAGAATGCAGGGAAGGTTTGGTTGCTGGGATAGATAAGCTTGCTGATGCTGTTTCTGTCACTTTAGGACCTAAAGGTATCTGAGTTTTCATCCAAATTGCAACAATTTCTCATTACATTTGTTGATTTCAAACATGCTCCTTTCCAGATGAAAATTGATATGCCATATGTTACACTTTTCAGTTTGTTGTATTTGTTGTTATAGAGTTCAATTGTGTTACTTTTATATCAAAGTCCAAAATTTCTTTGTGAATTTTATGCATAAAGTACTATTATGAACACAAAAAAGTATGAATAACTGTTTCAAGATGGATAGATTAATCTTTTTCTATCTAACTTGGTTCCTACCTGTTGAAGTGCAAGTGATTCACTGAGTAACAACTGAAAAGTTTCCAGTGTCTTCATGCTTACATAGCATCATAAATTGAGGTGACCTTTTCAAACAAGACTTTGGTTTCTTTGATTTTTCCCCTTAGATTGTTAGTGTAATTTAGAGAAGTTACTTTTTGTTAGAAATATATTAGGTTTTGTGCTTCCATTGGATGATGTAGAAGCCTTGTTATCTTCTTGTGTGGAGTGCTTCCATTATTCCTCACATTACACGGCTTGCCAGCCCTTTTCTTTGATCTCTGTGCTTTTCGCCTTGTTCAATAGAAATCTAAATTGCAATATGGCAAATGTACTGGTCTTAGCAAGAAGAGTATGAAGGAATACTATTAATGCCCTCAATTTCTTTTAAGTTGGTTCACCGCTTTTTAAGTTCTAATTATTTTCACTTTTAGTCTACCCCGACTCATTTGGGATAAAAGGCTTCTTGTTTCAAAAGTTGAGACTGGTGATAAGCATTCGAAAAAGAAAACTTTTGCAATTTAGAGATGTAGATAAATGTCTTACAACGAAAATAGTGTTATGATTTTTTGATGATAGATTGCAAGGGTTAAGTTGACTAGATCCTAAAATGATCAGAAGTGCAACAAGCATGTGTCATGACCACCAAGATCTTTGATATTCATTGATATTATTTAGAGCAATCTTAATTAGTCTTATGGTGTTCTATACAGGCCGCAATGTCGTTCTTTCTGAATCTGGAACACTTAAAGTTATTAATGATGGTGTCACGATTGCTAGAGCCATAGAGCTTTCTGATGCAATTGAAAATGCAGGAGCGGTGCTTATTCAAGAGGTATTTGTGGTAACATTACCTGCTGCACTCTACTAATAAATCACCTTACCAAATATTCCATCTCTTTGTAGGTTGCAACTAAGACAAACGATTTAGCTGGCGATGGTACTACCACTGCAATTGTTCTTGCAAGAGAGATGATCAAATCTGGATTATTGGCAGTAGCATTTGGAGCTAATCCCGTTTCTTTAAAGAAAGGAATGGAGAGGACTGCGAAAGAATTGATCAAAGTTTTAAAGAAGAAAACAATTCCGGTCAGTAAAAGGGATGATATAAAAGGTAAAGTCTTTCCCTTGTTTTATTTTCTACCATGAGAAAAGACTCTAAGCTTTTCCTGGTTGTGCAGCCATAGCTTCCGTCTCTGCTGGAAACGATGAATTTATTGGAAGCTTAATTGCTGACGCGATAGATAAGATCGGCCCTGATGGAATAATTTCTATTGAATCCTCCTCATCAAGTGAAACTTCTCTGATGGTTGAAGAAGGAATGAAAGTAAGTGATACAGTTGCAGCCGAAGCTATCAGTATTTTAAATAATGTTTTTCTGTTGCACAAGGAAGTTGATTTGAGTTGAAATAAGTACATCCTTCGCTCTACAAATTGCAACTATTGACCATGGACGTTGTTTTATGAAATTGTTTCCAATATTTCTCAACAGCCTTAAATACCCTCAATAAAAAATAAGGGAATTTTATGGATCAAGATCAACAGGAGCAATCATGTCAATTCTTACCTCAAATATCTCCAAAAAAAAAAGAAATGCTGCAATTTCCATTTGACATCCACAATGTAAATTTGTTGTGGTTTTTCATGGGCAAATGGAGTATAAATTTGGTTTACAATTACATACACAAAGTAGCTTCACTTGCTGGTTATTGACATGTCTGTGTGTTCTTTTTGCTGATAAAATTCCTTAGTTTTTACTGAATTTGAGATCAAGGCTTATGTTTATTAGTCGATGCCTTGAATTATTGAATTTGGAACTTAAATACTCAACAATAATGTCGGTGATTGGATGTGCAGATATCCATTTTTTTACTCATATTAGACATGTCACTATAACTTAGTGAACTTGATATAGCTTGTGGATGTATGCCAATGGTTCTCTAGACACACATGCTTTTGCTCGCTAGTGTTTTGCACTTTCTCATGATATTCGATTCATATATATTTTTTATTTTATTTTTTCATCTTCATATTTTAATGTCTATTCAGGAATACTTTCCCTACAGATCGACAAAGGATACATGTCTCCTCATTTCATCACAAACGAGAACAATTCATCTGTGGAATTTGAAAATGCTAAAGTCTTGATAACTGATCAAAAGATATCAACTGTCAAAGAAATTGTTCCTTTGCTAGAAAAGAGTACTCAATTGAGCGTCCCTCTGCTCATCTTCGCCGAAGATATCTCAATGTCAGTGCTGGAAACACTAGTAGTTAACAAAACTCAAGGCTTACTCAGGGTTGCTGTTGTCAAATGTCCTGGGGTTGGGGATCGAAAGAAAGCTTTACTGCAAGATATTGCCCTGATGACAGGTAATTATTGTAAATATTCGTATATGATTAGACTGTTGTGGAATCTACAATTGTAGATATAAATGAGACGAAGATGGAATTGTTGTGAGAAATAAGGAAAGATTGGTAGCTCAAGGCTACAAACAAGAAGAGGCATGACTATGATGAGACATTTGCCTTTCTATTGAGTGACTTCTATGGCGAATTTGGCTTTGTTTTTTGTGTGCTTAATTTTAGTCTTATCAAACTATTGGTTTTTATTTATATTCATCTAAAATGTTCATTTCTTGGTTGGTAGTGCCTAAAGATCACGTCATAAATTGCTGTCACTTTACTATATATATATTTCTTAGCATCTGTTTTATGTATAATTTTTAATATAGCCACCATTCTGTTTGCATTGATGGGATTTGGATACTAGACTTCGCCTTGTTACAGTAGACTGCATTCTGAGGGATTGTTTTTATGTCACATTCTGCTGGCATTATTGTAGGTGCTGATTTTCTCTCGGGAGATTTGGGTTTGTCCCTTGAAGGGGCAACCTCTGATCAGCTTGGTATTGCACGCAAAGTAACCATAACAAGTAGTTATACAACTATTGTTGCTGATCCATCCATGAAAGCTGAAATTCAAGCAAGGATCTCGCAGATAAAGAAGGATCTTTCTGAAACAGATAATTCGTATCTTTCAAGAAAGCTTAGTGAACGAATTGCAAAACTCTCTGGTGGTGTTGCTATTATCAGGGTGAGTTTATAACATTGACAATTTGGTTCAACGGCACTTTCAACTTTGAGGCTTTCTCGAGTCTAAGTAGCTTAATGTGTAACATGACTCATCGGGCGGTTTTCAGTTGTATTTTCATTCTAATTCTTGATTATAGTCAAGAATTGCAAAACCAAGTGATTATAATTAATTACTTAGTTCCACTATCTATCTTTACAGTGCTATCACCATATAAGTTTCACATACATTTCATGACAAGGTAAAATGTTTTACAAATAGTTAGTGTTTCAACATTCAGAGTGATTTTTGTAATTTAAGCATTCGTATGGGTTATAGGTAGGAGCATATACTGAGATGGAACTTGAAGACCGAAAGCTACGAATCGAGGATGCAAAAAGCGCCACTTATGCAGCTATGGATGAGGGTATTGTGCCTGGTGGTGGAGCAACCTATATTCATCTTTTGGAGGAAATTCCTTCCATCAAGAAGTCCTTGCAAGATCCAGATGAGGAAAGTGGGGCCAACATTGTAGCATCTGTACATTTTCCTCCCTTTTCTATGGTTCTGTTTTCTTAACTTTAGTTATATACACATATATCATAGTTTCACCATCTTCTTTGATATTCGAAACCAAACATGATGAGCAATATAAACTAGTACTTGAATCATATATATGATGTCATGGGAGCGCAAATAGACTTTCTTGAATGGAGCCCTAATGCTTGATGCAATGACTAGATTCAGTAATGACTAGTTGGATTCTTTTGCAAATGCCGATTTATCCAAATTTGTGTAACCAAAAGAAATCTGAGAACAAAAGATTAAGAAGTAATTCGAATCCATTGAGATGGCATTCTTTTTTTACATTTTCTAAAAGCATTTGAAGAGGGTGCAGGAAACATGTAGAAGTTTCCATTATACAGTGGAAATAGGTTGGGATGTGGCAGGCTTTTGTTTGCTGTTGTTTTACCTTTGGCCTTAAATTTAAATTAAGTTTGAAACTTTGATTTTGTTAGTCTTTCACCATCTGATAATTTTGTCAAACTATGGCTCCCAGGCACTGCAAGCCCCTGCAAGATTGATAGCAGCCAATGCAGGGGTCGATGGTGCTGTAGTTGTCGAAAAGATCAAGACACTTGGCTGGGAATTTGGTTATAACGCAATGACCGACACCTACGAGAATCTTCTTGCAGCGGGAATAATTGATCCTTGCAGGGTCTCAAGGTGTGCCCTTCAAAATGCTGTATCAATCGCGGGTATAATCCTCACTACTCAAGCGGTATTGGTCGAGAAAACAAAACAGCCTAAACCACCCGTGCCTCTTCTCCCTGGGATACATCCTTGATACAAACACAAAGCTATCAAGCTTTTTGGCACTTTGATTCACTTTCATCATGCTGAAAAAGGTCAACCGTCGCACTTTCTTATATCTATCGGTGCTACTGGGATTTTCAGGTCGTTATCTTCAGGGCCCCATAGGTTTAGTCCAGGTGCAAACAAGCTGGCCGGACGCTCACTGTTACAAAAGAAGTAAGAAAAATCTGTTGGTGTTGATGGTCATTTCCTTGACTGAAACATTAATGATGCAAAGGAAGTGGTGGAAAGCTGCTTATTTTTGTTTTGTTAGAACATGAAGCATGATGTTAGTAGGAGGTTTAAGTTTATAGGTTTGATTATTTTGTTATACAGGACCTTAATGTTGGGATAGTTTCTGGGATTCATATAAAACTTTGGTTTCAAGGAAACTGAGTAAATGGTTTACTTTGCTCCAATGTTTTCTTTTCGAAAATGGGTGATCCCGCCTTTTCCCAGACTTGTCCCATGGCAAGTCAGGACTGTAGGCTTCACACAGCCCTGAGGTAAATCTCCGAGTGGCTATAAGCGCATATGTAGATAGCGGGATTCGAACCCGAGTTGATTTTATCAACCCTATTGTCTTTATTCACTACGCTACTACTCTTATGGTTTGCTCCAATTTATTGATGGGGCAATTGTCTTTTTATGAAGTACAATGATATACCAGTATAGTCTTTATATTACTTATGAAGTTTTTGAAAATGTTTGTGGGTCGACCCACCGTAAACTGGCTCGTACTAAAAGTTGCTTGTTTTTGACCTATTACCTACCCAATGTAACATCCCAAAAAGGTAACCAGGTTTTGATAAATATGTTATGTGATAATGCATAAAAGATGAAGTCCAGGGACTAACTAGGCATTTGTAAAAAGTCTTGGACTAAAAAGTATCATTGGAACACATTCAAGTTGAACGTGAAGAGATGAAACTGTTGGGAGCAGTTTGTATAAGTGTATATTAATGAGGGGCTAGAAATGGCAAGGGGTGAAAGTAATAGTCTTGGGTAGGGGTGTTCATGGGTTGGGTTGATTGGGTTGAAGATATTTGAACAATCCAATTCTTGCGGTTTGAAAAATCTTAACCTAACCCAAACCAAAGTGCAACTCAACCTAACCCAACCCAACCCAACCCGTACGGGTTGGTCGGGTGATACTTTGATACATTAAAATATTTTTCTAACATTGAATATATTATTTATCTACTCCTAATTTCTTTTTCATTATCAACCATTTGATACAATTTATCCTACTTCTTACGTATATCACATTCAGTTAATTTTCTCAATTTACATATATATGTTTATATTACTGAACATATATAAGAATGAGTTATATAGAGATGTAAATAGATTAAAAATATGTGTATATGAAAAGCATACATGATAGTGTAATTGTCTAATGTATATATTAATATAAATTCAACAATCATATTAAATCCAAGAAATAAAATGATATCAAGTTCGTCGGGTTGGGTTGGGTTTAAATAATAGTAACTCAATATCAACCCAATACCTATGGTTTGACAACTTCACAACTCGATTAGACATCATGTTGCTTCGGGTTGAGTTATTCGGGTTGGATCGGATTGGTCGGGTTTTTGAGCACCCCTAGTCTTGGGTTTGGTGGTCATTCGCATAACAAGCTCTCAATAACCAAAAAGAATCCTCTCCAAGGAAAACAAGAAGCAAATAAATAATTTCAAGAATTCTTGAGTCAAGAACAAAAGAAGAACAAACGCATTGAAATTGTGAAGGAGAAATCACCAAATTAGATATTAATTGTTTGTTTTTAAATTTCGTAGTTGGATTAATACCGAGAATGCTTAAGAAGCAAATAGTTGGAATTTTACGTTCAACATGGCGTCGTAAGGACATTGAATCGTTGAAAAAAATGAGTTTCTGTTGGTCCCAAAGGGTCTACAAGAATACTAAACAGTTTGTAGAAGGGG